AAAGAACATAGATATATAAATAAATAACATCACAACCAGTATAAAATCAAATCAATAGGAACTATCTGGTACACTCTTCGTATAACTCCATATATTACAGTTCTTGACATAAAGTTCCATTCAAATTATGCTGACGAGTGTTGTAACTTTGTTAGCCCACAAATTTTGTTGCACAGTGTCTGCGAATATATAGAAATGGCTGGCGAAAATTGTAATTGCTTAGGCCACATTAAAGCCGAGTCCATTTCACATTTATTATCGAATATAATGCGAAAAATGTGTGGAAATCATGTGGAAAAGGGAAACAAACAAACGAACAGACAGAGAAACAACAATATGGAAATCAACATGATTGCTTATTGGGTATTAAATTTAATGAAAATTGGCTGCCAATGTGCAGAAATATTGAATGGGAAATTCCAATTGAATGCGGACGTTCGAAGCGTTTCGAGTGTTTTCCTTTCGACTTGCGACTTGTGCTCGCTGCTGGTCGGCGGAACTATGAATTGAATTGAGTTGATTTGGCATGTGAATTGCTTTCATTTTTCTTTATTTTTATTTTTATTTTTTCTTCTCATATTGCGATTGTGGCGATTTCTAAAGAACTTTGGTGTCTTTGACGTTGCCACCGACTCCTGCTCAATAGCTCAGTGTGTCAGGCAGGCAGCCGCATAAATTTCGATTTCGAATCCGATTTGCTCGACTCGCAAGCACACAAAGCCAGCCGAAGGAGAAGCCGATGTTTGCTCAGTGACCTAGGCGGCCCCAGCTGGGAGAACGGCAGCTGACATAACTGGTCTCTAATTACGTTTGGGCAAACAGACCAAATTGCAGGTGTCACAACATTACCTGGCCGAGCCACACGAGCAACGTTTTGGCGAACGAGCTCATTTGCAGATGCGACACGCTGGCGAACGGCGGCATGTGGACCCAACTGCTGCTCCTCTTGGCACTCGCTCCATTTCACTGGGGCTACGCCCGGACAGCCGCCTCATCGCTGGACGAGCTACTGGCGGAGCCGCTGCGCCGGATACCCTATCTGCACGTGCTGCTGCGCCAGGGACGACAGCTACAGGAGGATGCCCGCAACAGCGACGCCATGTGGTTCATGCAGCTCACGGATGTGCCGCACATCTTGCACAGCTACGACGAGCGCCGGCCTCTGGAGCTGGACAGCAGGCTGGCTGAGTTGGATAAGCGCGCCTCCCTGGTGCTGGTGGTCAGCCTGGCGCAGCTGGTCGCCGGCAGCGGCGCCGTCAGCTCGGCGGATCGTGCCGGCGTCTACTTCTACATTGTGGCCGATGTGCCGGACAGCCTGAGCCGCGAGCAGCAGCTGCAGCTGGAGCAGAGCAGCCGCCGGCTGTGGACCCAGCACAGGGTCTTCAATAGGTACATTCTGGTGGCTGGCGATGTTTGGATCTATGATCCATTTGCGGGCGAGTGGGATGGCAATGTGATGGGCTACGACGAGGCCTTCGGTCGCCTCATCCCCTATGCGGGCGGTGAGCCCCTCTCCACTCAATTGTTTCACGACATGCGCGGCTATCCGCTGCGTGTGCAGATCTTCAAGTCGGTCTATTCCCGGCCGCAGCTGGACCCGGAGACGGGTCTCCTGCGCAGCATCACGGGCGTCGACTGGGAGGTGGCGCTGGTGATAGCCGAGGCGCTGAACTTTACGATGCTGCTCCAGCAGCCGGACAAGAACTACTTTGGGTAAATATTGAAAGCGTTTCGTGTTTAATTGAGATATTCTAATCTCTGCTCCTCCTCAGCGAGCGCAGTGCGAATGGCAGCTACAATGGCGCCATCGGCTCGATACTGAACGACGGCCTGGACGTCTGCCTGACGGGCTTCTTTGTCAAGGACTATCTGGTGCAGGAGTACATGGACTTCACGGTGGCCGTCTACGATGATCAGCTGTGCATCTATGCGCCCAAGGCCAGCCGCATTCCACAGTCGATTCTGCCCATCTTTGCGGTTGGCTACGACATCTGGCTGGGCTTCATCCTGATGGCGTTCGTGTGCGCCTTCATCTGGCTGCTGCTGCGCATCCTCAATCTGCGGCTGCACATCATCAGCGCCCAGAGCCGACGGCTCTGGCAGCAGGCGCTGGGCATTTTGGTGGACACGTGGGTGGTGTGGGTGCGCGTGAATCTGAGCCACTTGCCGGAGAGCTATGCGGAGCGCATGTTCATTGGCTCGCTGTGCCTGGTGAGCGTCATTTTCGGCGCCATATTCGAGTCCAGCCTGTCGACCGTCTACATCCATCCGCTGCACTACAAGGACATTCTAACGCTGCAGGATCTGGACGACAGCGGACTGAAGGTCGTCTACAAGTACACGTCCATGGCGGATGACTTGTTCTTTAGCGAAACGTCGCCGCTGTACGCCAGCCTCAATAAGAAGCTGTGGTGGAACCGGGATCTCAATGCGGACGTCACCAAGGAGGTGGCCACTGTGGGCGGCAAGGCAAGCGTCTCCCGGTACTCCTCGCTGATGATGGAATCGGTCAACTTCCTGCTGATGCGCCGCATTTGGATTGTGCCCGAGTGCCCCAAGTACTACACCATCTCCTATGTCCTGCCCAGAGATGCGCCCTGGGAGGAGGCAATCAATGCCCAGCTGCTGCGCATGCTCAACGCTGGCCTCATCCCCAAATGGATCCAGGACCAAAAGTTCCGGGTGACCGTCACGACACGCAAGGCGCTCAACGAGCAGGCCGAGGCTACCGAGGTGCGCGTCCTGACCATCGGCGACCTCCAGCTGGCCTTCTATGTGGTCATCGTGGGCACTCTGCTTGCCTCAGTCGCCTTTCTGGCCGAGCACGTCTTCTTCAGACGCCGTGTGCGGCAAGCCACCAAGAAACTCTAGTTCAAGCGCAATCTTTGCGTTCAATAATCAGCTATCAAATATTTTCCTAAATACTGATTGATATAAAAAATACTTACTATAAATATTATTCATAATATTGAATTAATATGTGGAGAATTAATATATAGAGATTCCAAATTCTTGTGCACATATCTATTGACCCAACAACTGCCTTGAAATCGAGAAATGGCGCATTGGAGACTAGGCCTATAATTATAATAATAGATGGGAAACCATGTATAGCAGTATTATAGTAAACAACATTATAGCATAATATAATACAGTATTGTGTAGTATAACATATTAAAATATATAGTATAACAGAACAGCATATAAATATTTCATATAGTATAACAGAATGGTCGATAAATAGTATAACAGAACAGTATCGTTTTATAGTTTATAGTATAGTTTAACTCATTACAGCACATTATAGTATGTCAAAATGAATTAATTACAGCAAATTTTTGTACAACAAATTAGAATATAGTATAATGAAGCTTAGTATAGTCTAGCATAGAATACAAAAGCAAAGTGAGGTATAGTAATGAAAAACACATAATAGAAAAGTTTACTGTGGTGTAGTATAAAAATATAAAACATACCATATTATAGTGTAGTATATTATATTATTAAACAGTTTTGACTCACATGGTATAACAGGTTATATTATATAATAAAATACAATAGTATTGCACAATACATTATTTAGTATATTGCTGTATTGTATAAATCTTGTTAGTATAACAGATTATAGTCGAGGGACATTATATGGTAAAGTCTAGTATAACATATTAATGTATTTTACAGTCTAGTATGTATAGTATAGTATAGTATATAGTATAACAGTTTATAGTCTATATAGTGAAGTGCTGTGTACAATCGTATAACACATAATTTTAATATAGTATGCCAGATTATATTGATATTATGGTATACCTAGTATAACACATAATGGTATATTATGCTATAACATATTATTGTACACTAAATCAAGCGTTCAACTATAACATATCAAATCGGCTATAAAAACTATCCCTATAAGTCGAGTAAAAAATCCAATCACTCACTCTCAATCGCCATCGCTTGACAAACAGGTAACCCCACATTAGATCTACGTTTATGGGTTTGACAACTCACCCGTTGACATACATATGTAGTCGATGTCAAGAGCTCAGATCAATTGTGGTTGGTGCTCAAATACGTCATCATTTCGTTTAATAGTTTTTGGCTGAAAATTGTTGCCGACATTTGACCTACACACACACACATGTTTAGAGAGCAGCAACTGAATCGCTTATATAATTTAGCCATGTTAACAATGATACGCGCCAATGGCAACCGCAATTCGCTGGATGCCCAGGGGCTGGACACAAATCGAATTGCCAGCGCCCAAATATATATTGCACAATCCAAGGCTGCATTACAAATGCAAGTACAGTGATCTCTGGCTGGCATGACTTGTCTGCATTTGGCATGGCTTTCTGTTCAGCCCAGCTTGACTGAGTTAGTTGGCAGTTGCTAACTGGCGGCACTCTCTGACATTTGACTGTCAAGTTCGCTTAGCTGGTGCTCACTGTAGCCGCATTACGCACGCACACGTCGTTTGCTCTCTGTTTATTTAGCATTTTGGGCCTGCACACGAAATTACAATTAAACGGCCTCAGCGGCAGCGACAACATCTCATTTGGGCATTCAAATGTGCACTTCATCTGTCCCACACACCCACACACCTACAAACGCACACCCAAGACAGTGGACAAGTGACACAATTAAATATTCCAGACTTTATGGCATCTTGAGCAGAGAGAGAGAGAGGGAGAGAGACCTTCTGAGTGCATAAATGTAATTGCAACAATGATGCGAGACTCTGATACTCGCATTGTTCGAGTTATTTATAGCTGTTGCTATTGTTTATTGTCGACTGTGTCTAGCTGGGGACTATGAATCATAAGAAGCCAACTCGTTCGAGTGTTTGGATCGAAAGGCAAGCTGAGTCACATATGAGCAAAGATTGCAGTGGAGAGATACGAATGGCGAGCGTGTAAATACAAATTTTGTTAATGAATTATATACAATAGGTGTGCTAAAATTGACTAATACATTGGAATAAGAATATATATATAAAGCTAATAATTTATTTTCATCTAAATCAGAGACTAGGACCACTGATATTTACATTTTAATTTGACTTTGAAGCACAGCAGAATTATCAAATCGAAACTACATTTAGGGACATTTAAAATTAAAAAAAAAAAAAAAAAAGATTTGTTGATCTTTATTTTTATTTTATACTATTCGGTTTATGTATCAAAAACTTGATTAGTCATTGGGTTATTCAAGACATAAATTTCATATGCAGCTAAAGCAGAAACTCAGAGTCAAAGTCCCCAGGGAACTAGTTCTCGAAAATGAAAAGCTGATACACATATAATTTTTATTGAATGATATTTACAGCATTGTAATTACATATGCAACCGATTACTGTTAACGCACCCTGTTAACTCAAGTCTTCTTCAGCTGTTCAAAATCTGTTGCATATGTCCAGGCGAAAAGACAATATGTGTGTTTTTTTTTTTTTTTTTTTTTTGCACCGTACCTAAGCTAATGAGTCCTTGGCACGCGCCACCTGCGCAGAGACCTAAAGTTGCATTTCGAGTGCTCAATTGAACAGGTGGACGAGGGCCGGGGCAGGGTCGGAGACGACCTGAGGCGGTCTGGCATTGAGGAAGGCAGCAGTTGAAGAGCGATTCGGGGCCAGTCGCCGGCCGAGCACAAATACTGATGGCGACGTGACGCGCATGCTAATGAAGTTGGTGGGAATTGCCTGAAGTCCGGATTTAAATACGTCCAGCCACTTAGCCAGTCAGCAAATCGGGGAATCAGTCAGTCGAAGCATTTGGCAATGTTAATTTGATGATCTTGTTAATAGCCAATTGAAAAGCACGTGCCTTGGTCACATGCCTGTTGCCCGATGGCATGAGCTTGAGCTGATTATACAATAAGATGAATATATATACACATATTGCTTATTAGCCAACTATTTGTATGCTTTCTTATACTCAACGCCGGCTGTCATCATTTATGGCCGAAAAAGAAGTGCCCATTAGCAATGGATTTTTATGGCTAACTAATTGCTTCGATGCTGGCTAAAACGTTGCGCCGCTTTGATCATCATCTGCAGATGTTTTATGTATTTCAATAAATATTTTAGCAGATGCCATAAGAACGAGCATATTCGATTTGTTTTCAACATTTTGTATACTGAAAAGTGAAAGCCTATGAGTTCGTTATGCAGAATGTAACGCAGTGGATAGAGAAGAGCATCTGTAGAGAGTTGTAGATGGAGATAAGGATAGATAGATAGATAGTAGAGGCATAAGTAGATAGATGAGCGATTGAATAGGTAGAAGAATATATAGATAGATGACAGATATATAGAGACACAGGTATAGATACATAGATATATAGATACACATACATAGATACATAGATGCATAGATAGATACACGGATACATAGATACATAGAAGAATAAATACATAGATACAGAGATACATGTATACACATATAGATACATAGACACATATATACATAGATGAATAAATACATAGATACGTGGACACATAGATACTCATACATACATAGATACGTAGATACATGGATACATAGATGCATGGATACATAGATATATAGACACATAAATACATAGATACAAATATACATAGATGAATAAATACATAGATACAGAGATTCGAAAGGGTATCTACATTTTTACCAGCTGTTTTATAATAATTATCTTTCTTTTTGGCTACGGAATATTTTCAATATAATTCGTATTGGAATTTGGGAATATATTCTTAAAAGCATGCTGCTTGACTAATAGATACCCAGTCTAGCCTAACGCATTAAATAATATATAAATTATAATTAAAGCTCACAGCAAATACTCTTAAAATATTTTGAAATTTATTATCAATTCGCCAATAAAGCCAATAAAGCAAATCGAACTGTTTATAGTAAAAGTTGCTTAAATCTTTAAAAGTCAGTTTATGGCTGGCCTTGACTTGAAATTGGTTTTGCGGCAGCAATTAATCATACATAAACATATACATATACGCATATATATGCAAAAATATGCATATGATAAATATGAAATTGATTTATGAATATTTTCGATACACGAAAATAATTATGTTTTGTGTATTCAGTGTAAATGAAATTCAAGCGAAAAACAATCATATTTTTCCATGCTGTCATTTATTTTGTATTTTTTATTTATTTGTTAATGCGCATCACGTATAAAGCTGGGGCATTTAAAATGTAATTAGCTCAAATGCAGATCTGAATATTCAATTTGTGGACAATTTGATGAACTCTGCGAACAAAATGTTTCGATTGCAATTAGCTGCTTCAATTGTTGTTGTCGCTGTTGCTTGGCCACCCAATGCGTGGGGCAATTGTTCGGCTATTTAGAGCTCGATAGTGTAGCTGTTGCACATACACACACATATACATGTATGTGCATTGCTGTGTATATATGGAATTGAAATTCCAAAAGGCCTTAAAATAAAACAAGTCTTGCGACGCGCGCACTGAACACATCAAAATTTTTTCATTTGGTTTATTTCCGAATCATAACTTTTGTTTATCTTCAGATGGGACGAGCTGTTGTTGTTGCTGCCGGTGCTGCTGTTAATGCTAATGCTGATGCTAATGCTGCTTCTGTTTAATCTTGATCTGTCCGGGCTTCCAGCAACTCAGTGCTGCGTCGCCTCTGTCTGCGTCCACGTCCAAATTGTATTCCTAGCCAAAGTGAATTTCCAAACGTGCGCTGGCTTGAAACAGAAAACTTTATAATAAACATATTATATATACATGTGTAATTTATATACATATCGAATTTTTATTTTATAATCTCACTCGGTCAGTTTTTTTTTTTTTGCGGTGTTTTCCAGAAACTTTTGCGCCCAGTCATTTGATAGATGTTTTTCAGTTTGTTCGCAGTCTCGCAGCGCGTTGCAGTCGCGGCTCCTCCCACACACACACACACACACACACCCACATACACATAGTTCACATATATTTATAGTATATACTAGCTAAATGTATATATAATTTCTATTTTCAATTTGCTGTATGCAAATTCCATTTGTTAATTGTCTCGTGCGCTGCTTTCGTATGCAAATTTTCAAAGTGTCAAACAAAAAAAAAAAAACAAAAATAGAAATTAAAAAAAAAATTGGAAAACATTCAATAAACAAATTGGTTTCTCCCAATTTTCTTTATTTCCCAATATAATTTTTTTTTCGGATTTTTCATTTAGATTTTGTTTTGTTGTCGAGTAAGTGTATTTTGTTAGCAATATTTCGGATGCATTAAAGCAATAAATTAAGGCGTAAATATCAATTTGATTTTTTTTCTCGGTTCGTGTATTGTTTTGCGGTGAGTATATACAATCCGAAATATCATTAA